AATTACAGTAGTTATAATTCTTAAGAGAGGAAAAAAATGATCAGATATTACAATGTATTTTGTACAATATCGAAAGAAATCTACTCGACCTCGCATCTTCTCGTACACTGATGAACCATTAGATTATAGTCACCTATCTATTGCTCTGTAGTACAGCCTGCAGTCCAGAAAATCGCAGTTAGTGGGCGCCGCGTAGATTCCACGAGGTTACGGAAGGTATCCGCGTCGCGTTTCTACCTGTACGAACTTAACGGCAAGTCCTCTTGTTTGTGTACAGTGGAGGGCGATAGTAATGTCGTTCACCCCGCTTTTCAAAATGGAACCATACATTGTTAAATAGGAATCGTTATCCTTGCTCTGTGTGGAGACCAGGGCATTAATGCAAATTCTCAGTCATGTTCCTCGAACCAGTCTTTAACCATTCTGGGTGTGCAACACGGCGCGTTGTCTTATTCGAAGTTGCCTTTGCCATCAGGGAACAGTGTCGACACGAACCGATAAACTTTGTTTCAAAACACGACCATATACAGTCGTCGAAAAAATGGAAATCGACATTTATTGAAAATAACGGGCTTCGCGGGAGTGTTGCTCAGAGAAACAGCCAGCCCATCCGCATCTTCTCTTCCTTCGACCGGTCCATGAACCAGGAGCCTTAGTATCTGATTATAACCGGCGTATGCGCACTAGGTTGTTAAACTGATGAACCACGAAATGGCATTCTGACCAGGCGACCTTTTTCCAATCCACATTCTAGAAGCTCTGATTCTGTGTGCAATTCATAAGCTGGAATGTTGTGAGCATGAGGCTGTTAGTGGGTTCTGAACTCCGCGGTCTAATCCGCAGCAGTGTTTAGTGAACAGTGTGCTGCGAAACGTTCCCCTGGCTGCATTTTATTTGTGGGCTATATCTCGAACTGCGGCTCTGCGATCTTCGCTCTGCGACACGTGCTCACTTTCAGTAGGGCAGCGTTATCATTGTTTCAGGGTACGTTTGAAACTACATGTATTGTATGTTGTATATATTGTACTATTTTGGGTAAACGGAAGTTAACGTTAATGACGTACCAGCAAGCACTAAACAGTTAAATTCCTATGAATATCCCAAACTGACACGTTTTACAATATTATAGTTCATGAAATATGTTTTCAAGTGTGTTCACGTCAGTATAATCCAACCTCTATTATTTGTGTGGCTCTTTATTTTTTCTCTCTTTTATCTCGTTCTCTTTCTTTCTCTCCTTTATCCCGTTCTCTTTCTCTCTCCTTTATCCCGTTCTCTTTCTCTCACCTTTATTCCGTTCTCTTTCTCTCTCGTTCTCTGGGTCACTCTTTCACACATCACTTCTGCTCTCTACACGCTCATGTGGTCAAGATTTACTCGGTCTAGGCCTCTGACAAAATTTTGACACTCTAGCGTGTTAAACGAAATTGTGCATGGACGGTAAGTAACATGACTTGCGTTTATTTCACAAACGTTTGCAAATACAGGGAGCTGTAGTTGTACTCCAAATTGTTTTGTCATTCCCAAACTAGAGAGTCGTGTATATTAGGAGATTAATTGAATGCATGATCGAAGTGAACACTATCGCACGCTGTTCGGTGATTGTAGGCGGTACTCCCGTTGGGCGTTGCCGGTCACGATTACTCTTCAAGAATTAGATTTAAGTGCTTAAGGGCCTTGTGTTACGACCCTAATATCATGAATATTACCAAATTACAATAGAAATAAGAACAGTATTCACTCTGGAACTATCTTCTCGGTTAAGATAGCTGACACTAAGTTGTGTCCCACAAGCTCGATGTAGACCGTTTGCACTCTCTGATTGGTTCTCTCGAACAAACGTCAATATCAATCGCATTGTAGTGGGAGCACGGACGCATTCCGAGTTCCACCGATATCCGTCTACGCGGTCCCCTCCTGTCCGTGTTGTTACATTTCTTAATTGGATTTCGTCCTCGGAAATTGACCGTTTTGGCCCTGACAGCCAAGTAATTGCGAGGTGGCCGCGAACACAGCAGAGAGGACGTCCGTGCTCATATGCTATGCCGGGCGGAGCCTATTTCTGTCGCGGCCGCGGCTAAAACCGGGCACTCCCCGCCCTCCCCTCCACTCCCCTCCATCCCCTCCATCCCCTCCCCTTCCCAACCGCATCCGCCACCTCGGCCGCGAACCACCGCCTACGGCCTGGAGGCGGCCTATCTTTACGTATATAAAAGGTTTCAAAAGGTTTACTTGTTAATGTTAAAAGAAATTATGGAACAGTATATTTTAAACGCAAATCATTCATTGTCTGCTTGCGACTTGTATGTTATTGCTAACACATTTGTTTCTATTTAATTAGTTGAAATTTTGGTTGAAGAGGAAATGTGGGTTTTAGGAAATTATTAACTTACTGGTCCCCGTTGGAATTTCTTTTGAATGCATGTATTTACATATTTAATCCTAAATATTTGCTTACAGTGTAGAAAATTAGAGAAATTTTGTCTAAGAACGACAAATTTAGGTGTGAGAAATAGTGCATTGTTTGGACACTGTAGGGAATTGCGCACAAACCAGGGAGCGTTAGTAATTTTCCAAAGTATCAGCGTCAGTATTTTTCCTTAGTAACGTAACTGCGTAAATGTAGGTGGGGTATGGGCTAGTGGTTTTATCTAACGGCGCCGAATTTGTCAATTTTAGTGCAGTATTTTCGTTTAAGATGGGGAAAAGAAGTATGGGTTTTTTGTTTTTGCCTTTTTGTTTTGCTTGATTGCTATCACATTTCCATTTTAAGAGACTATCAAGATACGCACTAAGGTAATTGACTGGTTGTGTTTGGGAGATTGCAATGATATGGGTGTATTATTGAAAGTAATAGGATTTGAAAGTGAGGGTTGGCGAAAAGGGAAGATAGAAGCTCGACTTTTCGCAATATCGAGTGTTACTCTCCTTTTTGTAATCCATGTTGCAATGATTCATGAGTCATATCGCAAATTCTCAACAGTGAAATTAATGCAGTTCGGAAGTGAAAAACACAGCACAGTTCAGACAGCAAAAAGAGATATCAAGATACATAGGAGACGGTATATCATACAGATAAACTGTGAAAAGCAAGGGACTCAGGAGACTTCCTTGTGGTACTTCTGCTTCAATGCGAAATACTTTCGTAAAGGTACTCGCTATTTGGAGGGTAAATGTTCGATTTGACAGGAAAGTTGGTATTACTTCAAAAATATATTGAGAAACATTCAGTGAGCAAATCGTTTTAAATCCAGAGTATCGGTTGCGAATTGGTGGGAGTGGGGGCATCGATCCCTCTCTAGAGCATTTGATGTGCTGTGATAGGAAAGATTTTTTCTTTGCTGGGGACACCATTAATGCACATTAGATACCTCCTTTATTTCGTTATTTGTTATGAGATACTTCCATCCTTCGAAATGTTTAATTCAAAAGTCCAAATCATGAAAATTGGTAAATGATTATTTTCCAAGAGCACTCTTAAGATTTATTTTCATTAGAATGCATATCCATGAACAATACTGTGCTAATCTACTTGATACAACGTGCAACTGAGACTTTCATTTAAAACATTTTTTTTACTAAGTGTTCGTGAAGGTTCAATTAGTGTAACTACATTGCGGTAAATTCATGGTTGATAGTGAATATTTAAGTCTTTATCCAGATATTTGTGACAAATAATAATTCGTAAAACATTCAAAACAGAGACCAACTGCTAAGAAACATTAACAGAAAAGTCTTAATTTTCAACTCTTGCAATTGATTGAATAGACGAATTGCACATCAACCGAGTTTCACTTTGTTTTAATGTCATAAATTTCTTATTAGTGAAGAGGTTTCCTCGGTCGCTTATGCGTTGGACGGTGCTTAAGTCGCACGCAAGTACGCATTGGCACCTGCGTGCTTTCTCAGCGGAGATAGTAAGAATATTCTACCTGCCAAGAGGGGAGCAAGGAGGATTTTATCTGATATTAAAATCTCTTTTACCGATTTACGAGCGTAAGACGGTTCAGTTCAGTTCTCAAAATTATATATATATATATATATATATATATATATATATATATATATATATATATATATATACTTTATCCCGTCGATTTCACTCATCTGTATTTTTTTTCTTTTTACAAAAGTATTGTCTAAGGAACTCCCAATGTTTTTAATGTATGCGCACATAGGTATCATCCACATATGCATGCGTAAACATGCATACTATTTGCATGACTTTTGATATAAGCTTAACTAATGGGAGGCGGTTTTTGTAAAATATGAACGCATTCTCTGAGGATTCCTAGCCACCGTGCAACAAAACTCGCAAGGGTAATGATTCCCTTTGGCGCCCGCTTCTTCGTCGGGGCAGAAGTGGCCGAAGGGAGAGGCAGGGGATAGGCAGCCAAGCGAGCAGCGGGGCGGGCCGAGGACGACACCGCCCCAAGTCACACACTGGGCACAAACGGGCCGAAATGCGCTCGTAATCGAACACCAGGCAGGAAAGAGTATTCGTTTGTTTTTCGCATTGCTGCATTTATATTAATTGCTTTAAGAAAAAAATGATGAATATTCAATTTACTGATGGAGTCATTGGTATTTAATGGAAAGATAGTGTAAAGACAAAAATATAGCTGCATATATCGTTGCATGTATTCCCTGCAGCTGTATCGTTTCATGTATTCCCAAGAGTATCTGACAAGAGATATTCCAAACAAACAAAAAAATAAGATATATTGATGATAAGAGACAAACTAAGAAAAGAGAGATGAAAAACGAGATATGCTCACGTTATGTCAGATTAAACAATACATGTAGATATGAGGACTGGCTGTTCCGTCAACGCTACGAACTAGTTGCTTGGAACCGCCCCATGCGTCGTTCCGCCTGTCCCAGTTTCCCTCGTTTTATCAGGAGGCGAAAGGAAAAAAAAGTTTCGAACATTGTAGTGACTGCCTACATTTCTATGCAGGTACACTTCTGAAGTTGTCGAATCCTATCCCGCGTTGCAGTTGCAAAGTGTAGGAATGCCTAAAAGGCATGTGTGGTTGGCGCGCGTGTTGGGCCCACAGCGCGAGAGCGCGGCGCCGCCCCGGGCGGGGGCTCGCCGGCCACGTCACGAAGTGGCCGTTTCCTCGTTACGCCGCTCGCGCGCGCGCGCGCGCGGCGCGGCGCGGCGCGGCTCTGCGACTGTGGCGGCGGCGGTGGCCTTGGCCGACGCAAGGACGCGACCGGCACACGGATGAGGCGCGCGCGCGGATGGCAACGCCGAGGCGTCGAAAGGCGTCACGCCCACACCCACGCCCACGCCGCCGCGCTTCTGGCGCCTTGCTGCCCCAGAGGCTCCCGTAGTTCATGACGCCGTCCTGTCCTAGTCAAGGATGGACTGATACGTACTTGCTCAGGACTCCCGCTGGAATACGGCCCCTAATAATGTTGAATCAATTTTATTTATAACAGTTCATAAATTGTTAAAAAATATTGTTAAAATCTTAACGTTTTGGCTGCACGAAGAAGTGACTCCTACTGGCCGAGAATCAACCCAGATCTCCTGGTATGCGCGTATTTGCTCTAATATTTATTTAGGTTCAAATTGTACTTAATCTTAATGTACAAATATTTTCTTAAATATAAAATTATCGTTTTTTTTAGTGTTGCTAAGGTTATATTATCATTTTTATTACTTCTGTTCATTTTTTTAAAAACTTTATCACGTGGGTCCCTTAGTTTGGTTACATATAGATCTCCCGAAGACATAAATCCAATCCTGGCGCCCGCACTCACTTGCACTTTTCAGTGAAACACGTTGATATGTGGCTGGAGGGGCGTACGCTTTACTGCTCTTTGTTGCACAGCAAGGCATTCTCGGATGCAAAAACAATAAATTGCCGAAGAGTTGTTGGGAGTTTCAGAGGCTGTCGTATCAGCCTTCCACAGAGTCGAATAAACACATTTAAGCTATAACTTGTTAACATTTTGATCAAGGTATCCTTCCAAAGACGCCTACGAAATTATTTTATTAGCCATTTCCGGTTCGCATTTTTGGTTCTCCGAACTCTTGCACTTAAATCCATCTTCACCTCCTGTGTTGTTGGGCATATCCTCGCTGAAACTTTGGAGAATTTAAAATAAAATATTTTGGTTCGCCTTGCCCAAGTATCTGAGAATAAAGAATAGAAGTGTTTCAAAACAGAATATATTATCAATTGATGGTCAGTATCTCACTTGTTTCACTTTTATTTCCTCTTGAGTCACTTTTCTGGAACACTTTCGGATATGTGCAGAATAGAAGAGCTTTATTAATAATTCGCCCAATGCCGTATTGGCCTCCTCAACACTTCATGGAATAAAATAACTCTAATATAGAATGAATGCATAATAGTAAACCCAATGAATTACTTTACGTCGATATGCGTTATACTGTTATCTCCAAATTGAAAGATGCGTTCGGTATACTTCTTTATATTGGCTAGAAAACTATTCAATAATCTTAGTTCAAATTCAACTATTACAGACAACGTTATGTTAGTGCTGTTTAAAAAACCTGTCAAAGCGTACATTCCGTGAATAAATGAAGCCAGTCATAACCTAGAACAATATAATTATTTATATTTTATTGGACTTTTAATTGCTTATATATTATTGAGCTAAATTAGAAAGGAAATAAATCCACGCGTTTTTGCCCCTCGGATTCCCAGTAGGTCGAAGAGGGTTAATTCCCTCAAGCACTTAAGTGAGCCCTCTATCCTTGTAGGTGGTCAGGGGTCTTTTGAACCTCTACCAAACGTTTGCTGCTTAACTCTTTAAATAGTACGATTAAAAAGAAATGATCGATATCTAGCATTACTATGTTATATTCTAATGTAAGTCATAAGTTGTTTAATATTTATGACATTAGTTATGGGAAATGTTGCTGAATTTTTCTGCATCCGAACATACTAACTGGATCATGAGAAATGTAAACCGAACAGGGACTGAGTAAAAAAGAAACAATTGGCTGAATATGTTTCGAATTTTTCAAAGGAATTCGTTAGTGAAAACGGTCGAAATGAGCTGGTATTTTTGATTGCAGATCAGAGGCTATTGCACAAAGGTTTGTCTCAAACGCCATCCAAATTATAGAGATTGTGACAATTATAGGGTCGTCGAGAAATTTCATTCACTGGGAAGATCATATAAGTCTATGAAAACCGAGCGGTTAGAGAGATAACCTCTCGAGAAAGCGGGAATACTTCTGCAACTGCAACATCTGCCAACGATTTCCTGCTGACCGCTACAAAATCTACATTGAGTTGCTGGGTGTGGAACTCCGGTAGCAGTCGTGTGGAATACTAGTGCGAAGTCGCTACTACTCGTTGTTTACAACTGTGAATCCACCGGATTGTGCTTTCCTGTGCGCTGCGACGGGATGTGCTCCCTTCTAGTAGAGCAGGAAGGAAGCGGTCTGGGTTCCTCAGCGGATCCTGTTCTCCAGGAACGGGAACGCGTTCTCTTGGTCAATAAAATACTACCGTGCCTCGCAGTCTATTGCATCTCGTTTGATTTTATAGTTAAATAGGTTACTCTGATTAATAAGTCATAATTCAAAACACTATCCCATGTTGGCGATGTTGTTTTTCGTTAATTTAAAAAAAGGCGTATGCCTCCCCGCCCACTTGCACGATTTTCATTGCTGTGACGTTAAGGGTTACATTCTTGAGTAATGTGGCTATAATATTTGTATTATTTTTTGTATTAGGTAAGACGGAAGGTTGTGGGAGAATGCAAATAAAACAAAGCGTACAATTCTTTCTTGTGTATAATTAAAGAGTGAACAATTCCAATGTGTAAAATATATAAATTAATACATGAAATGAAGTATACAAACTTCCAATTGCATACTTAAAGTATGCAAACTTACAACTGATAGAACGATTTTTTCGATCTCAGAACACGAAGTTCTCTGCGCAAGACAAACTGCCCTCCCATTTCTTGAGAACTTACCAAGTTGCGAATGACACCCCCAACCAACTCTAGCCACGCATTTGAAATGTCGCAAATTTCGTAGCCTGTTATCTATCTATTTACAGCTTTAAATATGATTACTTGATTATTCGATAACATAAAATGTAATTGCACGGTTTAGAGCAGTAATCAGAGTTGTCTGATGCTTCAAACAAACATCTGCCGTTAGATGGATGTAACACCGCCCAATTCTGTCCAGTAAGAAAATAATTGAATATTCCAAGCGGGAAATTTGAATTTGCATTAAAATAATTGTGTTAAGTTTATTTTAGACAGATGCTTGATTAGTTTTATTTTTTTGTGAACATTGTTATTAATAATAATATTTGTGTAAAAACTTATACTTTTTGCAGCAATGAGTTTCATCTTAATATTTAAAAATTAGTTATGACTATTCTTATGACTACCCCAGATGGGAGAAATACTTTAAGGGAAAAAAGAATTTCCCCTCTTTTCCATTTCCACTCTCCTTGCTTCTCTTGACTATCCGCGCATGAAAAGATTATCACAGAAATACTTTCAAGTGCATGCTTATGCTAACGGAAAATGTTGGCAGTGACCACTTCCAAAAGAAGACTTATTTTAAATGGTGTTTTCTAAAATTAACTCAAAGTACTTCCATTGTAATATATTATATACTCATGTTGTGCATGACAAATGAGTGTGACTTTTCTTGAGAACACTCTTTACTAGAGATCTAAAAAGAAACATTTCTCACTCCTAAAAGTAAATTTGAACGAATTAACAATTAATGATAAATCATGTATAATTTAAAAAAAAAAAACTCACTGTCAACGTCGTTGTGCTTTTGATAGTTTCATCGTGATCTGAAAACCGCCCACAACCGTATATGTTTTGATGCGTTTACGCTCTTTGGGCGGTATTCCGCGATTTCAATTTTTGTCCCGTGAGAGAGCAGTTTTCCAGTCCCAAAAGCGGAATTTCGCCCAATCTGGTTGTAATAGCGTCGCGAACAAATAATCTGATACAATCTGCTTAATATGAAATATGGTTTAACCATTTTCACGGCTTCCTTCTCGTAAATTAACATTTCTGACAGATTTTTCATTTTTTCTTGAATTTCAATGAATTGCAATCAATATTTGCAACTGCATTTGAAGATGCATTTGAAGGTGGTATGTGAGATCTATTCATTGTTTACAATTCTAGTTTACAAGCCGCATTTAGTGAGTGGCGTTTTGTTTTTCCCGCGTTTGTAGTTCCTCTCTTGCCCGCATTTTCGAGCGCTGCTCTAAGAAGTTCTGAATGATCCCGCTAGAGCGCACGACGATGCTGTGTGTGCGCGGTGGTTTGTAATGTCAGATCGTCGTTTGTCACGAGGGTTAGCGCAAGCAGGGAAAGCATGAACGGCGTGCTACCCAAGTGTGTATTTCGTGAAGGGAGAGTTTCTGTACTTGGTTCATACTGTGGGGTGTTTCAAATATTTTGTGAATGAAAAGTGATGTAGATTCGACTGAGTGGTGTGTAGTGGATCTCGTCAAAATGTTTCATACCGTTAGTGGGCGTCATCAGCCGAAGTTGTGTTTGTGATAAGAATTCTTAGAAGCAAATTCTCTCCAAGGGTGAGGTATTCCCCAAGTATTGAAGCAAGTGATGTAAGATCTGACCGCGTGACATACATACTTCGGAAGTAATGGTCATACGAGGAAGTAGTGCTGGTTTTCTTAGATCGTAGATCATAATAGAAATTACTGTTTAATTATTGCATGTCTTTAAAATACTTACAGTTTGTCGAAAATAAGCATTTATCTCTCTGCATGAGCTCACTACGAACGCCAATAATTCCATCATTTTATGTATCTAGTAACGGGATTTTTAATCATATGTGTCATTTCAACTTAATGGACATTAATCTACATTTTTGTTAAATAGCTGGCTTTTTTTTACCATAATGCTCGAAATGACCGAACTTATTTGGAATATTTTTTTCCCTATTATATATATTTTCTTTTAATATCTGTTATTGAGTTATCAGGAAACTCTCATTTTGTCTGTTTTTTTTATTGTTGTAGCTTACTTTGTTTTCATAGTCCTGTGCTTGTTTTGCCTTTCTGAAAAAATCTGTGATCAGATAGGCTTGTTGGAGTCTCTGGTTTGGTTAATTGTTACCCCCCTTTGATATTTTCTATCCCCCTGTATTTGAAATTGAAAAAGATGAATGATATTAGTTTGAAATTTAAGATGTCATATGCCTGTATTTCAGGTTCTTCATTGAACATTA